GCAGAATCCGTGTCCTTCCACACAGGATAGACGGGTTCGATGCTTGGCCAATGTACAATCTGCAGCCTCCACCTATCTGTCAGTAAAGGCTTTCCTATTGCCGCCGTGCCACTGAACCGCATTCCAGACAAAGACAGACTAGGAAGACTCGACCAGTGATTTCCTTCCACACATCGGCCAAAGGAAAGCCCTGTGGTCACAGCAGCCTGAGCGTGGTGTGCGTGTGGGCTGCCGGAGTTGGGGGCAGACTCCACAGCGGCTAACAATGGTCTCCCATTGTGAGCCGGTGTAACGGGCAGGGCCTGGGCTGAGTGAAGCAGGTTCCTACCTTGGCCAGCAGACCGAGTCCCAGGATGACAGCTGTCGGTGTTGAGGGAGGGAGCCCTGAGTCCCAGGCCCCCCTCAAGACTTTCACCTCCTAGCACAGGAGCACCAGCGGGCCAGCCCACGCCTACAGGAGGGATGGGGGCCAGATGAGGTGTAGGATCACTCTCTCGTTCTTTTGGATGCCTCTCCCACCAGATGCCAGCCCCAGAGAGATGTCTGATTGCAGGCAGGCAGCAGCAATCAAAAGCTCACTGGTAAACCAGCCACACAGGTGTGGGAAGCTGGAGGGAGGAGTGAGCACCCAGACCTGCGTACAGGCCATTCCCAGACACTCTTGCGATGGTCAGGATTCAAGCGCAGGCGATGAACCGCTGAGATGCCGGGGCCCCGCCCCCAACTGTTGAAAAGGGGTCCTTCACTTTTTCCCTCGAATCTAGAATCCCCGACAGCTTGATAGTAAGATCGCCCAGCTCTCCGGGCCTGGCCCACAGCTGGTGCATCTCCCAGCCAGCATGGCAACAGCTCGCAAGCATCTTCCCTATCAGCAGTGACCAACAAGGGAGAGAATGGCCACTGCCATGGTTATGCAAGCTGGGAACAGCGCCCCCTTAAGTTGTGCGGGGACCAGTGTGCACACCCTGAGTGCAGCCCTGCTCAGAGGAGAAATGGAGTCTGTCCCTGTCTGGGGACAGCTCGGGAGCAGAGCAGCAGACACCAACCAGCCCCCTACTTTCCGCCTCCAGATCGAGGCCTCCCCTCACACCGCAGAGGCCTTTGAACTGCACTTGCTACCCTGTCCGGGTTCCCGGAAGCACCCGTCTTGAGTGGGTTCAGGGTGTAAGCCGAGTGATTGGCGCCAAGCACAGAGAAGCAGTACCACCCTCTTCTTGCAGGGCAGGGGCCTCACCGAGCAGCACTACACAGGGGCTTCCCTCCACACTGTGACCACAGAAGCCACAGCCTGTCAGCTCCCCGTCTCTCTACACATACAGCCCCGAGGGCCTGACTCACCCTTCTCCTTCCTAGCCCTCGCTCAGGGTCAGTTCCTCTAGCCCTCTGTGGCAGGAAACCGGGGAGGGGTGTGAGGAGTCACAGCCCAGTCAGGGAGAGGAGGTGGCAGGAGGCGAGCGGGTGGCCAGCCTGTACCCCTCCCCGCTTACATGAAGGAAAACAGGCCCCGGGGTTGGAGGAGCTGCCCAGGAAACACGAGAACCACAGGGCTGTCGGAAATGTGACAGGAAAGGGGCTGGGAGGTCCCCAGGGCCCTAGAAACATTCAAGAGAGATCTTCTGAGCTTGTGGAGGTCTCCCTATGGGTGGAGGGGATTTCTCCCCACCAACTTACGATTGACCTCGTGATGAGTTTCAATTCCCTCCTCCTCGCCTGGGCTCCTTCTGCCCTACTCAGTGGGGAAGGTCCCCTGCCCACCCACCCCACCCCTGGGCCTGCCGCGCACCCGCTCACATGAGCCCTCTGCCCTAGACTGCACACACATCGACACCAACACCCCCCTCCCCTGGGGCACTACAAGGTCATGTTTCTTTCCAGCCAGTCAAGGTTCCTAGTGGATGCAAACGTCACAGGCAGGCGCAGGGCCTCTGAAGACCTCCCTGCCTGCCCCCACCCCCACCCCCAGAGCCAAAGACCCCACTGCAGGCAGGACATCTCTTGGACCCAGCAGCGGCCCAACCCACAAGCAAGGCCCTCCTGAGCAGCCTGGCCACTCTGGCTGCCAGAGAATGCAGCCACTGCGTGGCCTCCCTCGCTCGCCAGCAGAGCAGGCCCCGGCGCAGCAGGCATGCGGCCGCCCAACCAGACGGGAGCGGAAACCCAAACCAAAGCCCTTGCTGCCAAGCGCCTCCAACTCATGGGGACCCGAGTGACCCAGGGAGCCACCCCCCAGGGTCTCCTTGGCTGTCACCTTTTTTTGGCGGAAGCATATTGCCGGGCCTTTCTTCTGCCTTGATGCCCGCCGGGTTTGAACAGCCAACCTTTCCTTCCGTTAGAGGCCAAGGACAGACCTCTCGCGCCACCCAGGAACCCCATGCGTGTCAAGAGGAGAACGGGGCTTCACAGCGTTTCCAGAGACTGGCCTTGGGAAGCAGCTCCCCAGGTCTCTCTCTCCAGGCCCTTCCGGTGGGCTTGAGGCTCCAGCCCTTCCTCTGGGTTAACAGCGAGCGTGTTAAACAATCGTTTGTCCCACCCCAGGGCCAAGTGGTCGGAGAGGACGTCAAAAAGGGCCCTTTCACCCCTTCCCGCCTCTGCCCCCAAAGACACTCCCTAACTAACATCAGGAATGTTGCCCTGCCTTGGGCCTGTGCTGCCCATCTGTCAAATGGGAGGAGGGTGGAGAAAAAGTTGCCATTGTGTCCGTATCAGGACAGGACTGCGCGCCACAGGGTTTCCCACGGCTAGTTTTCAGTAGCAGATCCCCTGGCCTTTCTCCCAAGGTGCCTGTGGGTGGGCTTGAACCTCCACGCTGCTGGTCAGCAGCAAGTGTTGGGCGGGCTCGCACCACCCACGGACTGCAGCAATAGCAGTAGTCCTGCCTGCTATGAGTATCTGTCGTGCGGACAATGTGAATAAAGATGCATGCAGCTCCTAGCAAGGTGCCTGACACTTAATTGGAAGCCCATGAACCAAACCCATTGACTTCCAGTCCATTCTGACTTTCATGGCGGCGGCACTGTAGGACTGAGTCGAACTGCCACACAGGGCCGCCAAGGCCGTAAGCTTGAAGGAAACAGACTGCCTCGTCATTTTCCCATGGAGTGGCTGTTCGCTTAACAGCCAAGCACCTTAACTACTGTGCCACCAAGGCTCCATTTTAGGAAGTCTATCCAACTAACCAAACTCGCTGCTCCACAGGGTTTCCATTGAGGCAATTCCAACCAGCCATTCCAAGGGAAGAAGATAGGGCTTTCTACTCCTTAGGAGAAACTGCTGGTTTTGAACTGGTGACCTTGTGGTTAGCAACTCAGCAAGTAACCCACTACGTCACCAGGGCTCCTGCCCAGAAAGCCTGTGCAGGTGTGTTATTAACATGATTGCCAGAGGTGTTTTAATTCTTTGGATTGAAATTGGTCCTCTCAAAAAAAAAGAGCCCTGGTGGGGTCACAAGTTATGCGTTGGGCTGCAAACCAAAAGGTGGGCAATTCAAACCCACCCACCAGCCTCCCCTCGGAAGTAGACATGGCAGTCTGCTCCGGACAGATTTATAGGCTGAGAAACCCTGAGTAGAGGAGGTTCTACTCTGCCCAACGGGGCGGCTTTGAGTCAGAATCCAAGTGACCCGTCGCAGTAGGCTTGGTTTGGGGGTCAGGGTTCCCCTTGGGAATACCTTTGAGGAGCAAATAGCCACTGGGAAGGAGGGAAGATCAATGAACTTGCATTCTTCATCATTAAAAATGGCACGGGGTACAGACAGAGAGCAACAGGTGGGTAAATGGGTGGCAAAGTTTACCAGGTGAGGTTCTGAGATGACTTGTGGGCTGCCAGCCAGCCCCTTGCCCAGGACCCTCTGCATACCTGAGCCTCCTGTTCTCCATCAGCCCTGGCTCAGCACTGCACCAGGCAGTGTTCTCCCACCAGCACTCCGTCCAGGGATGGTCGGTGGCCAGATTTAGGTAAAGAGCAGAAAAAAAGAAGAAAGATAGTAGTACAGAATGCCAAGTTGCATCTGACTTTCAGATAAACACAAATAACTCAATTTACTAGGAATATGCTCCATGCGACACTTGGGGCAGATTAATGCTCCAAGATGATGTGTCCTTTATCTGAAGTTCAAATGTGACTGGCCATCCTGTATTTACTCTGACAGCCGTACACCGGGGTGCCTGAGGCCCAGAGTTTGGGAAACAAGAGCGTGGGAATATGCCTCTGACCGCTTCCCTCAGCCTCTCCCCAGTGCTGCAGGCTGTGCCCTCCTGGCACTGCCACGAGGCCTGTTCACACTTGCCGCTGCCGAAGATGCAGCTACCCCTGCAATCTGTTTTCTCCCCTTGAGGAGGGACCCTTCTGACATCAGCATTGACCAGGGACGGCTCTCCCATGCCCCGCTCGCCCTCCAGGATCCCGGTCTCCAAGTGCAGAGAGAAGCCAGGGCCCTGAGTGTCCTGGGACTGGGGCAGAGGTGGTTGGGGTTGTGGGGAGAAGATGGCAAGGCTGGCACTGACACTTCTGCTCAAGTCAGCAGCTGGGGTGACCAGGTGTGTGTGTGGAGTGGGGGTGGGGGGGTGGGAGGGAGACATGAGGGCCTCAGCCATGGGGTCATTCCGGAAGAGTGAGCTGGATAAAAGAAGGGGGCAACCCATCCAATTGGGTGTTTCCTTTCTGCCTATAAATGAGAAGGCAGAGTTATGCTAAGTCAAAGGCTCTGCAAAGGAGACTCCGGAAGGAGTCTCTTAATCTCCCGGGGTCTTAGTCCAGCCAGGTGTGTTCAGATGAGTCTTTTGCCCCATTGTCCTCTGGGGAGCAAGTGACCCAGAAATTCATGCTACTTCCCGGATCAGCCACGGGCTGCTTCCGAAGCTAGGAACCAGAAGGTACCCCCAGGCACTGGACCCCTTAAGCCTGATGGCCACCCACCGTTATCCTCTGCCATCTCCATGCCAGGACCCTGCAAGTTCCTGATTCTCTCTCACTGTCTTCCTGTGGTCCGTTTGTCCTTCCAGGCTCTTGGAATCTGAAAAAATTTCTGCACCGCTTCCACTTCAGTGAACCCGAAGCATCCACGCAGTTCTTGACCCAAAATTACCATGACTCTCGGCGCCCCAAATCTTCTGGAGGAAGCAGGAGTGGGCACAAGGACAAGCCCTAGCTGGGATAACTGGATGCTGAGCCTTGGGCTCTGTCTTCCAGGCGTGTGCTCACCTTGGCACCTGCAGTGGGCTAGCCCCTGGGAATGCAGCCCCTTATCTTCCCAAACAACTAAAGAGAACAAGATCACCCAGCGCTGTCTGGTTTGGAGTTTTGTTTCTTAGCGTGTCTTTCTTCAAAACCCAACGAGAGAACATCAGCCCAGGCTTGGCACCAGGGCTTGGAGCTCTCTAGCAAATGCACGTATGTGGTGGCGAGGTGGGGGTGAAAGGTGGCTTAGAGGCAGCAGGCGGGGTCCCTTAGCTCTGAACTGTACCCTTGGGCAAATCACGTATCCCCTCTGAGGTTGATCTTCCAAGGCTCTGAAATCGAGGTGGGAAGAAGAGGGAGAGTCTGGTCAGTTTATCACCGAGGACCTTTCCAGCTCCGGCCTTCTTCAACAACGTGCACCTCACCAGGTGGCATCTAGGCCACCTCTCTCATGCCTGGCCTCTTTGGTGCCAGGGAAGCGACGCAGGGCAGACAGACCTGGAGCTGGCCTCAGAGGGCTTACTCTACAGGAGGGGAGAGAAATGGGCATCGGATAAGCACAAGCGAATCCCAGCCAAAGGAGGAGGGTGCAAGGAGGGCCGGGCGGAGGAGGAAGGGAGGAGGTCTGAAGGCTCAGGCAAGGCCTCTCTGAGGAAGCGCTGCTTCATTTCAGGAGCGAAAGGCTGGGTAGGATTGAGTATGGCTGTGGATGGGACGGGGAGCACTGGTCCCGACGCCCTGGGCCGCCATCCTTGCAAGGTCAGCAGTTCGAAAACACCAGCCGCTCCTCTGAAGGAAAACAAGGGCTTTCTACTCCCGCACAGTCTCAGAAAGTCACAGAGGTAGTTCGGCCCTGTCCTACAGGTCACTGGGACTCGATGGTGCTGAAGAGCATTCGGGACAGAGGGGCCAACACCTGCACCCCGCAAAGGTCCTGTGGCTGCAAGGGGCACACGTGGCATGTTCCAGATGCATTAGGCCACGAGGCTGACGTGCAGAATGCAAGGAGAAGACTGGTTGGAGAGGTGGCCCAAGACTGTGACACACTGGGCCTTGCAGTACATTCAAGTGTTGAACTGTATGGGAAAACAATGGAGGTCATTGGATGATCAGTGGGGTGGAGAGCGGGTGGGGGTGGGGAACTGGAAGGGTGGTGGTATAACCTGATTCATCTACTTTTGAAGAACTATGAATAAATTCCCAGACTAGCCCTTTTCTTCCAGGAAAAAGAATGTCAGCATCCAACACCCCTGGTGCGCCCCCCGCCCCCTTCTCTGGAGATCAAGTGGCTCTCCCACACCCCAAATCCTTTGAGACACCTTTCTGCTATAGTCTCACTCACAGCCGGACTCATGGCTCCTCAGCCCCCTTCCCTTCCCATGCTCCGGTCCTCTCGGTAGCTGCTCCCAACTTCCCCCTCAGCTCAGCTTCCCTCCAAGAGTTAATAACACCCCTCTTCCTGGCTGGGGTACAGCAAGGTTAGTGACTCATAGGCACCCAGAGGTTTGAGGTCCTCCAGATGAAAGGGCTAGGCTGCAGCTGGGGTCATTCCCTGTTTAGCGCCATGCCACTATCACTGAAAGGCGTAGGGGCCACACAAGTCAAGGGCTCAGCCACTTGGGGATTTGAATCATGCAATCAGGCGGGAGATTGGGCTTGGGAAGGGGTCCCCGACTCCCACTGGTAGACTCACCCCTCCACCCAGGTGGTGGACCCCTCTAGATGCTTGCTCTCTAGAAGGGCTTGTGATTCCAGCCCAAAGCAAAAGGAGCACCAGGCCAGAGGGACCCCTGAAGATGCCCCCTCCCTTCTAACCCTGCCAGGCAAGCTTGCAAGCAAAGCTAAAATAAGAAGCAGAAAGATAGCAGTGCCGACCTGTCCCCATCTGTTTGCACTGTCATGGAAGGGAGCCTCTGCAGGGACTTCCTGCGTGTGTGTGAACCACACACTCCCTGGGACCTTCTCCCCGACCCCCACCTCCCCAGACAGGAGTGTAATTGGCAGCTCCAGTTAACGCCCAGGGCTGGGATAAATAGAAGGTCAGCTTCCTTGAGCAACCCCAAATCCAGCGAGACACATCCTCCCCTCTTCTGCTTTTAATTCCTTGTGGCTAGCGTGTTTATTTTGGGTGAGGGAAAACAAAAAAAAAATTCGGATGTTTATCCTTCGAGGAAATTATCGGCTTGCTTTCTTTCCTTTTTCTTTTTTTTTTTTTTGTACAACCTACCCACCCCTCCTTTCTATACCTCTGGTGTTTGGGAGCTTTTAGACTCCCACCTTCCTGACTGCAACATGTGAAGAAGAAGAAGAAAAAACTGGTTCAGGTTCTAGGCCAAAGCCAGCCCTTGGGACAGGTGGGTCTCTGGAAGCTCCAGAGAAGGGGGTTCCCGTGGCAGAGAAGGGATGTTGGGGAAACTCGCCTGCCATGAGTCCTTTTCTGTGCCCGCAGGACTCTGCACCCCTCGCTCCTTCCAGGAGAGGCAAAGGGTGCATGTGGGTTGGTCCGAGAGCTATAACCGAGCAGCTAAGACAGACTCAAGGGAGCCTCCATGGCCCCTGGAGTGGGCCAGAGGGAACTGACCTCAGGATGGCCATCAGCCCATCCCATATCATTTACTGGGCACTTTCTACATCCCAGCCAGAGCGTGAGCACTTTACATGATTCATGGCCTCCTGCCCCACTTCACCGCTCACCAGGGCCGCCGTGCTCCCGCTCTCATGCATTCATCACAACAGCGTCATAATGCCGGTGCTATTGTTCTCATTTTATAGATGAGCCACTGAGAAGTTAAACAACCTACTCTGTTTCCTAACTGGTAATGGTGGAATCTGGAGGTTAGTCAAATCTTCTCACTCTTCATGATTGGTCATCAGCACTCTGATGTGACTCTCTGGCCGACAAGAAATAAATGCCAGGCCTTCCGTAGACTCAGGAGTTGGAGGGAGACAAAAGAGAGAAGCCAGAAGTTTTGAGAGAATCTAAAAGAAGCATCCACCTTTGCCCCCCGCCTCCAGCTATCTGGGCCGGGTGGGATTTATGGGGCTTCTGCAGACCCATGGGGCAATGACCCAGTCCCCCGGCCCCAAACCACCACCATCACCTGCCCTGCCCGAGCCCACTGCCCCCCTAATCCTTGGAACCACCCCGGGGCCTCCCAGAACCAGACCAGTGTGGTAAGTGCTCGCAGGAAAGGAAGCAAGTTGGAAATGGGAGGAAAGCCGTGTTGGTGATGTGGTATGTGTGTGTGTGTGTGTGTGTGTGTGTGTGTAGTGGGGGGGTGGAAGTACGAGGATGGTGAGGAAGAGTCGTCCAGGTTTAGGGCTGAGAAGCCAAGGGACGAGAACAACCCTGGTATATGGTTTAGATGATGCTGTTTCCTAAGCACAGGCGTTCTTACCTCGAAGACCTAAATTCCCATCAGCTTTCTATGGCTTATCAACGTGCAGTGACGGATTGCCCGATAAGCAAGGTAGTGAGCAGGGGCTTCCTTGTGTTTGCTTACAAATCTGTAATAAACTATTTCACACGTGTCTGCCACATCAACGAGTCTGCTTCTAGGTACGGCTGGCATCTGTTTCCCTCTCTTCCTGAGGAATCAAAGCATGTCAAATGTACAATCTCTGACAAGGCCAAAGTGCTCAGTAAGCACTAGGCTGACTTGTGCTTACTTACTAATCCCTAGTGAACAATTTCACATGGGTGCCCTGTAACACTGTTCACTCCAGATAAGTGGATGAGCACAAGGAACCTTACTGGGTAATCCCCCTGGTTGTCACTGACTCCGAGCTAGTTACTTAACTGCTCTGGGCCAAGCTAATGGGAAAGAAAGAAAAGAGAGAGAGAGAGAGATCAGTGCCTTCCTGAAGAACAGTGTTGCCATGATGAATCGAAGTGGTGCAGAGACACCTTAGCACCATGCCTGGCATGGGGGCTGTGGGGCTTTGGCTTGCCCTCTCCTTCCTGACCCCTCCCTCACCCATCCTTCTCTCCAGCGCCTCGGTGCATGCCACCAGATGTTAGGCTTTGCGGTCATGGGAAAGAGCCATCTTTCCAGGTGAGACTCCTTCCCAAGAGACCCACCATTGCCTCTGCCACCCCAGGGAAAGGACCAAGTGCTGAGGGAACCCCACATTCCAGCCCCACGCCCCCTCCGGAGCAAGGCGGAGCATGGGGAGATTGGGATCAGAGCGACAGCCCAGTTCCTTAGCAACTAAAAAGCATTTCCCAGTAAAGACAAAGACCCTTCACTCAGAATGCTCCCTTTTCCCCTCCCCCCTCCCCAGCTCCAACCTCCCCAGGTGTCTGATCTAATTTGCAGAAGGAGGGCGAGGGGGTCCCCACCCCCCAGCAGGCTAGGGGCCTCTGCTCAGCCCTCCACTCTTGGCTGTCCTGATATTACCTGCAATTACCCCACAGCACCTTTCATCTCAGTGCTAATTAACTTTCCCATCTACCCTCGGGAGCTGCTGGGAGACACACCACACACACACACACACACACACACACACACACACACAGAGGAATGTTCCTTTCTCCCCCTGCAGACTCCTGGCTCCATGTCCCAGACCTGGAAGCTAAGGTCAGAGAAAGAAGTCAATTCCTGAGGTTCCCCACCTGCCTCCTTGGTGCTCGGAGCTGGCGAGAATGGGTCAGGAAGAGGAAAAGACGGGCCCGCTGCACATCTTGGGACTGGGCGACCAGAAAGAGAAATAGGTTTCTAAGGAAGTAAGGAAAGTGTGCCAGGGCAGGGGACAGCACCGCCTGCCGTGGCTCTGAGTGTCACCGTGATTCTACCAGGCGTAGCTCACTTGCAGGACGCGGTTCTATTGTTGCTGTGGTTGGTAGGCGCAACCCTCTGCGCAGTAGAACAAAGCACCGCCCGGTCCTGCGCCAGCCTCACAGGTTCTTATGATTCAGCCCTTTGACACGGCCAAGACGCATGGTGTCCATCCCTCTGGCCAAAGGCCTTCCCCTTGTTCACGGCTCCATTACTTCCTTCTTCGGGGAATGGACACAGAGAGAAAATGAAAGAAAGGGTTTAACTAGAACAAAGGAATAGAAGGTGTCAGGGGGGGAAAATAAAATAGAAAGGGGGGGAATGT